AATAATCATTATTTTCTACCTTCCCTTTAGGCTGTAAAGGCCATGGCTGAGGCCAAATATCAACAAGAGAAAGAGAAGGCAAAAGCTGAGGTCCAGAAAGTCCCTGCAGTGAGTTTGACAGCAGACATGTGGACATCTCTCAATATGGATGCCTACTTGGCTGTAACCTGCCATTTTATAGATCACAACTCATGTCTGAAGTCTACACTACTTAGTGTAGTGAAATTCCCACAGGCACACACAGCTGAAAATTTGGCCTGTGTGAAATCCTCCCTCATGGAAGAATGGGGAATAAAATCAAAAGTCACATGTCTTGTTACTGATGGCGCATCTAATATGGTTGCCTGTGGCAGGAACCTGAAGCTGCGCCATGCAGTCTACATTGCTCACACCCTGAATCTAGTCGTTAAAAAGGCTCTTGAACTAACCCCACTGCTGTCCACCATTCGTACAAAGGCAATGAAGCTGGTGGGCTATTTTAGGAGCAGCACAACTGCCAAAGTCAGTAACATTTATTTTCATATTTGTTTACACATTGTTTTATATTGCTACATATGTAACATTTACTTTTTTATCTTTAAAGGAGAAGCTGGACCTTGTTCAAGAGCAGATGGGAAAACCAAAAAAGAAACTGATTCAGGAAGTTGAAACAAGGTGGAACAGCACATTTCAAATGCTGGAGCAAGTAGCAGAACTAAGGGAGCCTGTGGGGGCAGCTTTGGCTGGCTTACAAACTGACATTCCTGCGCTGACCTCTGATGACTACAATATTTGTGGGTGCCTGTCTATACTGTCTCCTTTTCACGAGGCTACTGTGGAGCTGTCAGAGGAGAAAAAGGTATCTGGCCCCAAAGTGGTGCCATTATTGAAAATGGTTGAAAAGATGCTCCAGGAAGAGTCAGCAAAGGCAACGGTCCCAGTAGCTAGGGAACTGGGAGAGCATCTCATCAGGCTTCTTAGGGAAAAGCTTGACAAAGTCCAAAGCATGAGCATTATGTCACTGGCAACACTACTAGACCCAAGATACAAATCACTTGGCTTCTTTAGCCCTACAAAGGCAGATGAAGCAATAAAACGACTCACCTTTGAATGTGCCAATGTAATCTCACATTTATCTCCAGCTGCAGCTTCAACATCACACGATGCTGTAGCTGAAAGACCTGGTCAGTATTTTTGCTTTGGTTTAAAGTCAATTTTGTAATTATGTCCTCATTTATATTATCAGTTTTTGCTTCTCAGGAAACAAACTGTGGTTTCATTTAGATACCATGGTCACTGAGTCAAGAAGAATTCAGTGTCACAGCTGATGCCACAGTTGAAGTGCAGAGATACCTGGCAGAGCGGAACATCGGCAGAACAGAGGATCCCCTTGAGTCCTGGGAGAGGCAGAGGTGCATATATCCAAGCCTATACAAGCTTGCTGTGGGATACTTGTGCACCCCTGCCTCCTCAGTACCATGTGAAAGGGTTTTCTCCAAAGCCGGAGAGGTTATTTCCAAAAAGAGAAACCGACTGAGTCCAAGCACAGTGGAAAAAATATTGTTTCTTAATGAAAATGAATAAAGTTACCATCACCCCACAATCACTGTCTCATCTCTTGAAAGCACTGCAACAGTTTTAACATAAACATCTCATGTCCTATTGGATTTATTTATTGACTGAAATCATACTGGAAAGTTTTTTTGACCTCTATTACCATAACCCACACATTAATCAAAAACAGACTAGATGAATAAATGAATGAACCACAGAAAATCAAATGAAGGTATTTTATTCTTGGCAGTGATTATTCCCATGCTGACAATGTTGCAAGACAGCCAAGAGACCATCACAAATAGTTGAAATGACAATAAAGGTTTTAACCAGCAGGGGGGTTTGTGTGCACATGAAGCTTCAAGAAATTAACCTTTTTTTAAACCAGCTGGATGGAATGCTTCAAGGCTTCATGAGGCTTCATCTGGCCATCACTAGTCAATACACAAAAAACAAGGCTCGGGAATGCACGGGGATGTAACAATACTTCGCAAAGACAAAACATGGTAGACAAACATTATAGTCCTTGAAACAGGTGTAAACAATCAATACTCAGGTGAGCGTGAACATTGGTAGGCGGATGGCTGAGAGTTCCTGATCATGTTACCTCCCAGTGAATTCTGGGAGTTGGAGTGCTGGACGGAGTGAGGGATGTCGTTCTCCGCTACAGAAGGCATGACAGCTCACAAGAACAGTGATGAATGATAAGTACAATATGGCTCATATAAAAAAAGGACATTGACAAAATTCATAGGAATAAAACACAATATTTTATTACCATCTTATGACATCTTCTACATAAAATATAGAAGCAGGGTATGTAAATATGTCAGTGTAGCATTTTGAAAATGAAGAGGAGCCAATACATGCTGGTTCTGTTGTTCCATAAACATCTGTAAAATGGACAGTACTGCTAATTAACTTCAAAGCAATATTTATATTATAGCATGGGGGAGGGGATCAAAGAACAAGTTGAAGATGGAGTCCATGACTCCGCTTTACTGAGAAACTCAGAACGGCGTACAAACGAAAAGGGGAAAATCTTGTAAACACTGTATAATACATGGTAATGAGATATGATGAGTTCTCATGATTAAAACGGCCATAACTGCACTAGTACCTAACCGATTATCACCAAATTTGCTTTGCTATAATCTTCAGACATAGATTGCTCTAGGTAGCTTTTATTTCTATTTAATAATGATGGTGATGGTGCTGGTTAGCTGTCTGGAGCAGCAGGAAAGCACCTACCACAGTTTAGCACAAGCTCTGGTAGAAACACAATCACACACACATCAGCAAATCCATCAACGTGCGAATAACTTCTAATCTTAATGCACATAAAAACGCAATAACCCATCCAAAACACAGCATCTTATTCGAATTTTCCCATTCCACCTTGAATGGTGCAGCAGTTACATTCTAGTGGCACAGGCTACACCATTTAAGGTGGAACGGGAAAATTCAAACAAGAAGCTGGTGAATAAGGAGCTGACTTCAGCTTAGTGTGAGAAGGTACTATAAGAATTAAGGAATGCTGTAACTTACCTGCAGTGCTTACTCAGCATTAGAAATCGTTGTAAATAAATTAATGTAACTGCTACATCAAGTTAAGATCTCCTGTGTAGGCTATTAAATGAAATAAGTGTAGTATAAAACCAGAGGAAAAACAATCACATCAAGGAGTCATATCTACACAGAATCATCACACAAACATGAGTGTCGACTGCTACGTTCTCTCCATTATATAATCCTATTCCCCTTTCTGAGTGAGATTGAAATAGAATAATTTTGGACAGTACTTTTATTAACCTGCATTGAATGCTGTCAGGCAGCAATGTTGACCGCCCTAAAATGGCAGCGCCATTGAAGTGCCTGGCTGAACCCCACGCTGTATCTATGTCTGTATATCTATGGGGAAAATACCGCTCAAGGCTTGCACTCAGCTATGCGCTGTTAACCCTTGTATGATGTTCGGATCTGTGTTTACCAAAAGAAAAAATGATGTGATTTATTATTATTATTTCAAAAATTCTTTGGCCTTTGTTCATTTTCTGTGAACAACATATAAAATAACACATTTTCAGTGACTTCACACTGTACAGCCCCTACACATTTATATTACACATGTGGTGTTGGGGTGAACCTGCAGGGAATAAACATGTGGAGGTGCTGTGTCCTTTCACTCTGTTCTCCTCCTACATGACCTGCTGTTAGTGTGTGTGTATGTCTGTGTGTGTATGTGTTTGTATATGTGTGTGTGTGTGTGTGTGTGTGTGAGGGTGGACAACATGGACATGCTGCTGACTGACTACAGCTGCTGAAGGAGAACCCTACGCTGACCACTTGTGATATTTTAAACATCTGGTATTTTTACATAAATTGTTATAGCTGTATTGATAAAAAAAAAAAAAAACAATAATGCAGTGGGTCCACCAGAACCACACAAGGGTTAGGGCCAATTTTTGTCTAGGCAACATGTGTCGCTCGACAAAAAAATGGAGCTAAACCATGTGGCCTTGGTGTCACATGTTTTAGCTCCATCATCTCACTCCATAAAATTGTTCTGAAAGCGTCCGTCATTTTACAATCTGGAAAAAAATGGATTCACAATACTAGCTCAGTAATTTTTCATTTTTAATTGTTTAATGTACTATTTGATAATTAAGTAATGGAAAATTGTTAAAATGCAAGCCCCATAGTTTTATGAATTCTCACCATGACATTTTTTGGTATTGTGGACTTATGTACTCTTCATAAGCATAACAGTCATCACAATTTCCTTTTTGTCTCTAACGTTTAACCCAGATAAATTCGATAATGTTGTAATAAGGTACAAACTATTTCACTGTGCAGTCTACTAAACAGTGCACTTTAACTGAAAATAGGTATTTAAATATAACACAAAAGATCAAACACTGAAATGTGACTCATTGTCCTCATTTTGTTTGATAGATTGTTGTAAAGTTTGCTGAAATATGCTTACTCTCTTTAAAACATTCATTCCTATAGGATGGTACAATGGTTTTCTTTTGAAAAAAGATCATTTTAAAGTTTTCAATTTCAAATGGCATGAAAATTCAACTGGTGATTTTCCACGAGTGTTGGAATAAACTTTATTCAAATTTGAAACAATAATTCATTCCTCACCATTACATTAAAGCATTGCTTTAAAGTGATGCATGCTAAAGCGTACCCCAAAAGAAAATGATTTCTTAAACATTTCTTTTAATTATGTTTACTTATTTAATAACATATCGTAATGCTTACCTTAGAGGGTTAATATATCCTACATTTAATACAGTAAGAGGTGAAACAATATTTCACTCCGAATTTGGCACATCAGAACAATTAATCGTTTTAAAGACGTAAATTCATGTCTCAATGATGTACAGAATAAACACAGAAAGAGGACGGAGTCATGTTTATGCTTATAGGGAGATCTGAGATCTCTTTATTATCACACAGCAGCACACATCACACTGATCTCTGAAATTACAGTTGCACTTAATGAACAGTCTGAGCAATCCAGTTTCTGTAGAGCGGGTCACAAATGTTTGCAAAACTTGTTGGACCACCATTGAGATAGTCAGGTCCAGCTAAAAGCACTCCATACAGCAGCCCATTCCAGACGAGGCTCCCACCAGAATCACCCTGCAAATACACAGAAAGAAGTAGTTTGTGGATCTTCACTGTGTGTATTAAAGTCAGTACACATGACTGATGTAGGATTACGAGCAAACATACTCGATTAGATGAAATATTTTGATGCTGAACACAAACACAGTGACCAGGGACATAGGGGTAATCTTGTATTGGTGGACAGTCATTTGGTGCTCCAGTTTGACACGCCACAACAGGGGTGTTTGCAAAGCGAAGCCGATCTGCTTCGAAGGGATCTGTGAAAAAGAGATGATGGTAATTTTGGTCTACAATCTGATTCATTTGAAAAGCACATCTACTTGAATCTTACACATCCTTCGCAGATTTCTATGATGACGGTCTTGTTGACCAAGCCATGCATTCATCCTGCCGTAATAAAGAACTTGCTGGGCAACATGCGGTGCAGTGCAGTTTTTAGGAGGGAGCTGAATGGTGGGAAATTGATGATGTTGATGTTGGTCATTTCTCAGTCTCAGTAGCATGATATCATGATCTCCGTCGTCACAACAATAATGTTTTTCCGCGATCCTCCGCTCTTCTCGCTCATTTTCATCCACATCTTCATGATCAGGATTCGGATGAGAGTTCAAAACTGCCCTTAAGAGCCTAACAGCACAAAATAAGAGAATGAGAACAAAGATGAGTTCAGAGCACATCTGTACTAGACTACCTGCATTTCTTCATCACTTTTTACATTCATTATGTAATACAGAACTAAAGGCAGTGCTCTATCCTCTTTACACTCTGCATTCTGAGGTAAACTGAGAAATAAACAGGATGCATGATGATGATACCAGAATCATAACAGTATTGGCAGATAATGAAAATGAAATTAATTTGAGTGTTTAGATTAGGCTGATATTTGATTTTGTCATTATTGTACTCTGATAAAGCAGAATGTTTAGGTGATGCTGGACTACTACAATAAAGTATCTGCCTTTTTAACAACATCTCTTAAATAAATAAATTAATGTAAATAAAATAAATTTTTGTATAAAATTTTATATAAAATACATTCTTCATTTTAAAAATGTATACAGTACTGTGTGCAAAGTCACAGAGCACCCTAAAAATGTAATCTTCCCTTCTATAATGAAGGGAAAGTCAAAGAAAAAGAACTGAAAACAGAAGTTTCCAAAACTGGAGTTCAAAACTAATTACAATACAAAGTTAAATGATATGTTTGGTGAAAGTGAGTGAACTTTTTTTGCAATTTTCTTTTTATTGGAAAAGTGTTACATTATATTGCCATTCAATTGCCACATATACCGATACTAGAATTTTGTTGTAGAAACTTGTGCACATGTAATCCTCCTGTTGTAATTATTTTTTAATATAATAATAACAAAACAACAACAACAACAACAACAACAACAACAATAATAATAATAATAATAGATAGATAGATAGATAGATAGATAGATAGATAGATAGATAGATATTGGCACCCCTTCATTTAATACTTAGTGCAGCCAAGGATAACAGAGTCTTCTCCAATAATGCTTATCGAGACTGGAACACATGGAAAAGGATCTGAGACCTCTATTTGGGTCTCACTCACAGTCCAACTGAAAGTTGCAGTAAAATCTGGTAAACTGTAGGCGCTTGAGTTTTTTGGTTCTTGACAGCAGAGACTTTCCTCTGGCAACCCCCTAACAACTTGTGGTTACATAGGTGATGTTTGATTGTGGTTTGGGAGACATTCTGTCCTCAAGACCTCACTAATGTCTGCAGTTACCCATCTGTGATCTTTGTAGATTCTTTGTCCACTCAAATCATCCTCCTCACTTTCCATGAGGACAGTGTAGACATACATCCTCGTCCCAGCAGATTTCTAACACCACTGGTTGTTTTAAGCTTCTTGCTTTATGTCCTGATAGTGGAAATATGCATTTTCAACTATTTTCTTGTAGTCATTTTCTGATTTGTGCAGTTTAACATTTTGTTGCACATCACTGCTGTTTTGTCTGGTCTTTCTCATAGTAATGGATGACTGAGGAAATTTGGCCAGTGTTTTATCTCATATACATTCCCCAGTGAATCAGGAAGTCATAGGTGCCCATTTAAGTGTTCCTAATCGCTCAGGTGAACTTTAAAACATAAAATATGAATGGTAATATATTTCAGTTAGATTTTACTCTTAAAAAATTCTAGGAGTGCCAATAATTGTGGCACATATAGATTTAAGAAAAATATTTATTTCATGACAATATATAGTTCACCAGTTGTGTCAATATTTGTGGAGGGCACTGCAGATAGATAGATAGATAGATAGATAGATAGATAGATAGATAGATAGATAGATAGATAGATAGATAGATTTAAAAAATGTGAAAAATTAAATGAAATCAACAAATTTACTGGGCAAAAGTATTCCAATGACATCACAATCATGCTGCCACCATTTTGGTAGCAACATCAAGTTTATGCAGCAGTGCTGTGGCTGTTTGTAATGAGGTAAAGCCAGAAACGATCCAGCAAAGGCAGTAAAACATGTTTTGTTTTAAACTTTTTAAATCACATTTTTAAACCATATTAACAGATATATTTGAGTGTATTGACTTGACTTTATTTGATTTGTTGCTGTAGTGATAATAAATGAAAGCTGAAATCTAAATAGCTGAGACTTCCTGCTACGTCATTATTTTCATGTCTCAATCTGCATACTAGTACACTAAACAGTGTGTAAAAATAGCACAAATACCATTAGAAGTGCACTCATTAGTGTGGCAGGTGAAGTACACAGGTAAGTGGTTTGGAACACGACACTAGATCAGCCAGTGAGATGCATTCAACAGCTCCAGTGGCTGATTATAGCTTTGCTGTGCTGTTTGTTTGCTGCTCAGTAAACATCTCCATTCTAATCTATTTTGCTGGGTCTTCAGCCACCTGCAGGGCTGTATCTGCAGTAACGGTGATGAGACAAGTTACAGCTCACCTACCAACATGGCAATGTGGTCTTCTTAATGATGCAATCGAATACTATGAATAAAAAACAAATTAAATTAATATTCCTTATAATCTAAAACAGCCACAACTTCAGAACTTTCCATAAATTTAGTTTGTCACATTCTCAATCATTACAATTATGGAAGGTTTCTCTTGAGTAGACAGAAGGGCTTAGTTATAAAACTTAAGTTAGTTTTTTCATAATAAAGATTTTATATACTTTGTCATGCTAATCATGTAATTGAGGGGGCTCGTTGTGACAGTGATTGTTTTCTTGTATGCTGCTAACAAGGCCTAACTATTTCTTATCATTTCAAGTCAAGAGGTCTTTAAACGATTTTAAGTGGTCCTCTCTCTAAAGCTTGTATATTTACATATTTAAATAATTCATTGAAAGTGTCAAAAGTATCTATAAATTCTTTTTGTTCCAAGCCATGATTTTCTTTTAACAACTGGAATAACTGAAATATCTGTTTATATAAAAAACTACAAAATATAAAATCCCTCCTGCTAGCACTAGTTTAGCAAGCTAATAACTTACACGGTAACAAAAAGAGTCTGTTTAATTCAAAGGGAAAATGACAGTGTTTGGTACAAAACACCAGACAAATGTTTCTGGGCAATAGCAGACATTATCATATATAGTATAGGATGCACTTTTTGTAACCATCAAATTCGCTAATTGATTTTGACAGGTCGTAGCCCCGCCCCTTTGACCTTTGACCCCATCATCATTATCATCATCATCATAATTACCCTTCCGTCACCCAGGGTGGGGGTGTCACCCTTGACCTTTGACCCCCCATTATCATCATCATTATCATCATCATCATTTCCCTTCCGTCACCCTTGACCTTTTGAACAACTTGCCCATGCTTCAGTGAAGCATCTAATTTAGACATCTGGTTTTGAACAGGAAATATTCTGGCGCCAATACACCCACCAGTCACCCACCCCACCGTCACCCTTCTGTCCACAGGTGGGGGTGTCACCCTTCATGAACAACTCCCTATTGTTCAATGAAGCATCTAATTTAGACATCTGGTTTTGAACAGGAAATCTTCTGGCCCCCCAAGAGTACCCCCACTCCCATTCTTCAATTAATCAACTGGTTTAGACACATAAACAGGGAATGTTCTGCCCCTACCAACACCCCCTTGCCCCGGAGGCCTGAACAGGAAACCTCCGGCACCCCCCAAGCCAATCCCCGCAGCGTCGGCGCTTCACAAGGTTTTTGTACTCATAGTGAACGTCTGCTGAAATGGCTCAGGAACGCTTAAACATGTACTCTTATGAAAATGCACAACATCGTTCACTTCGCTACGGGCACGGGTCAAAAGGCGTCAATCTGTGAGCGGTTTAACAAGACGCTCAGGAATAAAATGTGGAAATATTTCACAGCCGTTAATATGAGAAAATACATCGACGTAGTACAGGACTTGGTTCACGCGTACGATCACAACTACCACAGCAGCATCAAAATGAAACCTGTCGAGGTGAACGAGACAAATTCCTTCAATGTTTTTAAAACCTTGTACGGGTTTCATTTTGATGCATTTTCATTAAACCTTGAAAGGTTTTGTTAAAAAATTCTCTACCTTGATCCGATTGCAGTTTTTTAGGAACTCTCCCTTCCTTAAGAATGGATTCAAAAGCTTTGGTTACCTCGACTCCTGACTTGTTTCGTAATACACGTACCCAAGCATATTTGGATAAAATATCTATACAAGTTAACATGAATTTCATATTGTCATTATTCTCTGATAAGTTGGTCATATCCACTAAATTGACTTGCCATTGTTCATCCATGTTTTTCACAAAAACTCTGTTTGTTTTAAATTTCACAGAAACAGGTTTATGGAGAGTGTACGCATCCTGAGCCGCTAACCAGCTTTTGAGGTCATTATCGTTTATCCTTTTACCTATTTTCTCAACAACAGCTCTTTGCAAACTCTCAACCCCTCCGTAAGACCCTGGGTCAGAGGGTGTATAATATATATTTTTCAACAACCGCTCAGTCATTTTGGTGCGCCTCTGTAGTAATGGACAAAAACGAGTGTGGAGTCAACATTTTATTGTTACAAACTCAGAAATCTAGTGACGTGAATTAGATTTACATTTTTGTCTGATAAAAAGAAAACAAACAGTCAATCGTTTTTCCAACATCGATATTTTCCTTGTTCATGATCTTTAAAACACACACATCGGTTACATAGGTTAAGATGCACAAAAAATGACTAAATTTACATTCAGTCGATAATTCGAACATGTGATATAAAACATGATACATATATTCATGTAAGGGATATGAACTATTTACAGCAGCAGAGAGCAGATTGTTCCAATTCACGTTTGATCATCGTACAAACTCCATTTTCTCTTCTAGTTTTACAACAGAGTGTAGGTCTACGTATAACTGACTTGAAAAACTATTTTCATCATTAACTCTCGCTTCAATTACTTTGCAGAGCACAGATGTAACCCGTACCTTCAGACGCTTCTTGGAGAGGTTAGAGACGGTGGTGATGATGTTACCCATGATGGGTCTGCGGCTCCAGAGAGCTGTGAAAATTCCAGTAGTCGACAATATCTTCATTCACTTGTTCGCTGTAGACCTGTGCAGTTTTGTCTTTGATCTCTTTCAGAGTCGCCTTGATGTGAGTTTCATCTTGTAAATCGCACACGATCATTTTAGCAACGGCTTGGATTTTTTCCAGAGATGGTATGGAAGAAATTCTGCACAACTTTAGAGCTCTGGCTAAGGTGTATTTTAGCCAAGGTTCATACAGTTTTGTCAACAGTCTTTTAGCGTTGATGTGTAGATAGTAGTCTTCAGGATCATACAAACATGTATGCTGATGCTGACTAGGGTGGTCAATGGCGCAGCCGTTGCAGTTTTCTTTCATATCTCTTTCAATGATTCTTTCCAGCAGATCGCCGGTCACAGCGCGGATGATGGAAAGCACGACCGTGCTTATACACTCGTCAAATTCATCAGATGCTTTCGGTTGAGTCGATCCTGTAGAAGAGTTCTCCGTGTTCAGAACATAAGAGTACATGTTTAAGCGTTCCTGAGCCATTTCAGCAGACGTTCACTGTGAGTACAAAAACCTTGTGAAGCGCCGACGCTGCGGGGATTGGCTTTATTCAGCACGTGATGGGTTTTGGGACATCACTCTGATTCCTCCCCTAATTTCTTTCACAAACACAATGTCAATGTCCACATCAACGTTGCTTGCAAACGGATAGCTGGTGTCGGTTTCAAAATAATCATACAGTCTCATTTTAAGTTTTTTTATACTTTTAATTCGTTCCAGCTCATCAAACAATCTTTCAATGCATTCCATGCATTCTTGATATAATTCTTTCCAATCTCCCCATTTTACGATCACGTGGGAATCTTTTCTGATGAGTCCCGTACCCGGTGCCAAACGCTTGCGGTTGCACAACATAGATAGACATATGTCGCACGTGTCGTCGGCATTCTTTTTGGTATGGAGAGCAAAAGTGTGTGAAAATGGATGTCCTGAAGGTTTCCAGGGTACTATGAGTATCTTGTAATCAGCTTCACACTTTGTATATCTTTACATCATGTAAGAGTATAATTCACCGCAGTGTCTCTTGAAACTGCTCCAATCGTTCCGATGCAGAATGAATTTCCCCGTGGTATCCGTGAAACTCTCTGTCGGACTGCTGAAGAGGGTAACGCTGTCGTTTTGTTCATCAAAAACGAATCCAAAGTAGCTTCCGTTGGATAGTCTCCACGCGTGAAATTTGTCCGACTCATTGAGCAAAAATGTTGATCTAAACAAAGCTGTCACAGACTTTTTAGGGGCATCTGGTGCGTTGGCCATGGCTTCTTAGCTGCTTATCTGCATATAGACTCTTGAAACACTAACTCTTAAAAACCCTTGCTCACAGCGTCACAGACAGAAGGGAGGAGTTTGATCTTACGTGTAGTTATGAAAACATACATCTGATTGGTCGACATGTATTTAAAAATTGGCGTGAAAATCGATGTTAGCGTCATAGCGTATCAAAATGGCTGAAAATAATACGGGTGAAATAGGACGATATAGCAAGATATTATCTATTCAAAGACAGATGGGTAAGGCCGGTGGCACACGGGTGTGTGTGTGTGTGTGTGTGTGTGTGTGTGTGTGTTGGGGGGGGGGGGGGGGGGTTGTTGGGGGGTGCCGGAGGTTTCCTGTTCAGGCCTCCGGGGCAAGGGGGTGTTGGTAGGGGCAGAACATTCCCTGTTTATGTGTCTAAACCAGCTGATTAATTGAAGAATGGGAGTGGGGGTACTCTTGGGGGGCCAGAAGAGTTCCTGTTCAAAACCAGATGTCTAAGTTAGATGCTTCATTGAACAATAGGGAGTTGTTCATGAAGGGTGACACCCCCACCTGTGGACAGAAGGGTGACGGTGGGGTGGGTGACTGGTGGGTGTATTGGCGCCAGAATATTTCCTGTTCAAAACCAGATGTCTAAATTAGATGCTTCATTGAAGCATGGGCAAGTTGTTCAAAAGGTCAAGGGTGACGGAAGGGAAATGATGATGATGATAATGATGATGATAATGGGGGGTCAAACGTCATGGGTGACACCCCCACCCTGGGTGGCGGAAGGGTAATTATGATGATGATAATGATGATGGGGTCAAAGGTCAAAGGGGCGGGGCTACGACCTGTCAAAATCAATTAGCGAATTTGATAGTTACAAAAAGTGCATCCTATACTATATATATTATCATCGTAATAGAGGTCGTAATCGGAAAAATAACAGCTGCTTACAAAGCAAATTGCAAAGTATGTTTGATTAAATATTGCTAAATATTGTTCTTACTTGCAGTCACAGTGATCAGCAGTGATGACCCAGTCTTGAGTAATCAGAGAACCTCCACAGCGTAGAGGACCATTACAGTTCTGACGGTACAAAATCACATGATGCCGACCATGATTGTTAGGTGCAGCACCTCCTAGGTTGCGAACAGTCTGACCCACATAAACCCTCTTCTGAACTTCCCCCAGTGCAGCACCTTTCAGAGAATTACAGAGAACAAGAGTTAACATTAATGAATCATTAATGGACTGTTTGATGAGTCATAAACGAGGATTACCAGCATGTTTTACTGTTTGCGCTTTGTGAAGTGTGGGTGCATTTACTTCATTTAAATATGGCGGTAGTGATTCATAACAGGACAAAAAAATCACAAGAAATAACAGCTGAATCACTCTGATAGTCATTTTTCTCTGTAAGAAGCTGGTGTGGATTAAAGAATATTTTCTACAATGTTTCCAAATGTTTGGTCACGCATGCCACAGATAGATACACACACACACAGCTGGTTGACAGACATATTTAAAATGCACGCCTTGATCTGTTTGGACTGAACATCACAGCAAACCCTCTACAGGAGCAGGATTTCAGATCAGCACAAACTATTTCAGTAAGAAATGCAAATGTAGGTGTTACAAAGAAAGATGATATTAACAGATTCCTCTCACGCTTTAAACACACACTGCTGCACCAAATGGAAAGTAGGTTTAGTTTGGAATCCAAATCAATGAAGAGTGATCTGACATGCTGAGATTCTGATTACATGTTCAAACTGATCTTATAACAAGTTTTAGCTTTTAATCCCTGTTTCTCAATTTACAGTGGATTTGCAAGGACTTCAATTTACACATGAAATGATATTTCTAATCAATTTTTACTAGTCAAACCTGAATTTTTACTACACAGTATTTAATATTTACTAGTGGAATTTTAATTTTCACATGTTTATCAAGAAAAATCAGGAATGAAAGCTAAAATGATAATTAGAATTTCAGCATGTTGATTTGTGTGGAAAGAATAACACGTCAAACTTTAATTAGTAAAACATGGTTAACATGTTAATAAAAAATGGTACTGATTATAAAGAATTGGGAATTGGAAACATGATTAAAAGCATATTTACCGGATTATTTTGCATTATTTCAGAAATTCTTCACTTCGAATTTGTTTTTCTTTGTTTCTGTTTCTGTTATAGTGTTCATACAGTCAGCCAACCTGAGCTTCATCTGTCTGGTCTTTAATATGTATGAGCTCATTTACATGTGAGTTTTGATTGGCTCTTGTCTACAACACAGACGAAAATACAGCAACGTTAAAAGGCACTGAGGCACTAATCACTACCGGGGCAACTCCTGGGCTTCCGGCTACAGCCACTAATATTTTAACAAGCCCAGAACCTTATAACCTCACAGAGAGAGAGAGAGAGAGAGACAGAGAGAGAGAGATTTTCCTTTACTCTTATTGATTACTAATAGTAACCCTGTTAATAATTAATTTTCTAGTGTTCTATTATAATCTATAATGTTATGTTTCTCTTATTTATGTCCATGTGTTTCTTGTTAACTGCTTTGGCAATAGTGTATTTTATTACATTCATGCCAATAAAGCACTGCTAAACTGAACTGAGAGTGTGAGAGAGAGACAGAGAGAGAGAGAGAGAGAGAGAGAGAGTGAGAAATGTGGAATTGGATCCACAACATTTTAAAATGTCCGCAAAGACAGACACTGAAACTCTGTCTCAAATATTACTAGAAAAAGTTTTATCAACATCAAATGCCATGCTCAAATCTAATCTGTTTTCACATCATCATTACATATATTAATTCAATATACGTTCAATCATTTCAATAAAATATATATAAAAACTAAACTTTGCTTAAATTACTCTTAAAATACTCTCATTGCTCTCATTCAGCAATCAAAATTTGTTAAAAAGACCAGCTAAAAAGAGTTCACAGTAACTGACAGTGCAGTCAGTGTTGAGGATGTGAATGGGTCTAGTGGGGCCACTCACTTTTATTACTGTCCCACCCAAAGTGCTTATGAATAAAGAAACTAAAACGCTATAGAAATTCCATGTTTAACATCCAACAATCAAAATCTCAGTTTAACCAATATCTACTATATGACTGTGAGGGGTTTTACTGAGCATCACTCCCTCCTGATCCACCAGCACACAACACACCCTGAGACTCCCAGCTACAGTTCTCAGAGCTGAATCTCAGAGCTTCTCATCACTCTGGTAGGAAGAGTTTGTGTTCATGGAGTCCTGCATTAGCAGCGACACTGTCAGCATGTTGGAGATGAATGTGGGGAGAAACATTATGTGGATTTAAGGACTTGAAGTGTATGAACGCAGCCTGTTTTAAATATGAACACAGCCGAGCACAAAATCATCTATAATGTGAAATAACTACAGTAGCTACAAACAGTTATGCAATCTGACAAATGCTTTTAAAGTTATATTAGTAGCTCCTGTGTGCAAAGCAAGAGATAGAAGTTTTTATTGTGCTTTGGTTGAATTTTGATATATATATATATATATATATATATATATATATATATATATATATATATATATATATATATATGTCAGGCTTTCAGTGTAAAAAAAGGTTAAAAAAACGGTCTATGTACGGTCTCTCTACCTTGTATTCCACTGCAACCAATGTTGAACTCTCTACCTCACACTAACCACACCCCTTACCCTGTCCCCTCTACTGAGACAGCCATTAAGAGCAGTGGTCATTAGCATGCAGGACCAATATCCAGAGAGTGAAAGAATAACATGAGACTCCTTTAAGTATGGTGGTCAAATATTATTAAAATATATTAAAGAAACCAAACAAAATACTTTTATTAGTATGAAAAGTAGTAAAAATCCTCCACTAGTAGGTTATCATTTTTCTTGCAAAAATGGTCGCTTGCTTTTTTTCCACTACATGAGATAAAGCAAAGTTAATATCTAATTTAACACAAATATATCATTCAGCCTTTCCAACTTTACATACAGCATTACATTTACCAAGAGAAAACCTTTTTTGATAGTTGTATTTTCCACAGAACTGAGTCCAGTGCAACCATCTGACATCACAGTGCCACAGTGACCTACTAGTGGAGGAATTTTATCTATTTGACATGTTTTTTAATAATAAATAATACTTTCCAATTTGGTTTACACATCACATTTTAATTGTATTTAACATGTACACTATCTTAGGGCATACAAGTCTTAGCAGTCAGGGTTCCCTTTGACAATCTATGAGGAGACCACTGCTATAACTCATTACAGGAGAAAAGAAAATATTGATCATCTCACAGAAACTTAAATAAAACATCACAGTTTTTGGCTTAAAGTTATTTAATATAAAGTATAGCAGCAACTCACCTGCCAACACCAGGAGAAAGAGACTCTTCATCACACTCTTCATTATGGTCTTCCTTGCCATGAAGTGAGTCTGATGCTGAGAGCTTTTAAACCCTACATATCACTCAACAACCAAATTAAGCAATCAGGCTGTCACACTGTACCTCAAACTGCCACCACTTACCAACGGTCCACTGAGGATGCTTTGCATGAAGATGAAGATAACCTCATAATTCCAGAGACTTTCTCAGCTCACATGCCTCTTTGATCTCAGATATGAAAATGGAAATGGAAATCTTGCAAATTTAATTGGTATCAAACTGATCCCAAAAGACAGTAACATGTGTATGTAATGTAATGTATATGCATTTGCTTTCCCTAATACTGCATGTAGATTACATTGTCAAAGAGAACACAAAGCTAAAAAGAGGGCAAAATTCAAAAGGAAAAGAGGAACAGCGCCTCTCCTCTTTGCAACTACATATTCTCAACTACTGTGCTTATTCTGTGGCAAAATGCCTTTGAAAAAGCATTCAACCCAATTGTGTTTTCAATTTCATAGAATTCCATAGACCACCATATAGATTCCAGTTGATGCCATAAAGGGATATCTTCCTCAAAGTGAGCATTAGTTGTAGATATATTGCTCTGCCACTTGCTAATGCGTTATGTGAATTGTGTAGTGCTGCAGAGTTAAGCTAGTTAAAAGCCATTGTAATTTTTTCAAACAAGGGTCAAGATAAGATTTTTCACAAATTCGTAATACAGAAGCAAATCTTATCTTAATGTAAGAACGTTATCTTATCTTACATCATCTTTTCTTATCTCATGTTAGAAAATCTTAACTAATGATTGAAGTTGACAATCAACTGTCATGTCTGTTACCTAGCAACTGACCATACGCACACAGCTTAAACGTAAACATGTAATCAGTAGTTAGTCAGACAGCTAACGTTAGCTGCCGTTAGTAGTGTAAAGAAAGTCAAATAATACTAAAGGGTGATAAACTGAAAGTTAAGAATATTGTGGCAGTGCTTCCTGCTGTTTTTCCAGATCGTTGCCGCTCTCCAGTTTCAGTTTCATTTCCCAAACGCTTTAGCCGAGCTCGCTAATGGTACTCCTCCTAATAAACAGACACACGTTCAGCTCTGTCTCCTCATTATTCACCACCATCTCTGTAATATTTTATCATCAACATTAACACACAAAGGTAATACAAGTAAATGGTGAAGATCGAGTCTGCAGTGTTAGGCACTTTTAAAAGCTGTTATAAGCAAAAACTCAAAAGTCAAAGCACTGTTTTCTGCGTAGAAAAATGTAACATCATTATGCTACTTATAGTGAACTGTGCTGCCTATCACTGCATAAAACAATAGAAACAGATGATTAAAACAGAAGTTAAGATGCTTTGAGGTTGTCTTAAAGTTAAGAAAATATTTAGGATATTTTGGCAACTTACGATGTTTCTGTAATACCTTATTCTTATCGGGAAATAAGATAAGATTATAGACTTAAGAACTGTTGTTCTGTTATGGCTTTAGTCTTAACTGAAGTTGCCATGACAACAAAGCAAATCTCAGACTTAAGAATTTTCTGTAATATGGACCCTGGTCCATAACTCAGCTGTACTTAACTCAGAGAACAGAGCAGAGAAAGAGGAAAAAAGTTTTCAGGTTAGCTCTCGGCTCGTACTGTTGCCTGCTAAACCATCGTGCTCAGCTCCACTCTGCTGACAGCACACTTATCAGCTCTCCTTTTAGCCTCTGTCTGTCCAGGAGTAGATTCCTGACTGACAGCGCTGCCAGCACCTGCCTGAACCATCACTGGAGAGCCATGGTCAGTGCTGCTAGGCCATCGTGTTGCTCTGCCAGAAGATCCACTAGCATTTTCCCCTCCAGGGCCAGGCACAGCTGTATCGTGGTAATAGCCACTGTCCAGCCCCTTCTTGTTGGGCTGCAGCCCCCCAAAGCCCGCATCACCATTTCTTTTGCCACATTTTCTTTTGCCTTCTTCCCCAGCCAGCTCTCTTGCTCTTGGCAGGCTGGAACAGTCCAAGAGGGTTCTGTATTTTTCACCATCCTCAGTTGAGTTTATAAGGTGCTTCTTTTTTTCTTTGTGTTTGGCTGCTTCTTATTCAGTGAGAATAACAGTGAGAATAACAGAGACACATCTCAAACTAACAAACAACAACATCAACAGCAACAGCAAATGTCCACTTTAATGGAGGGTGAGGCGTGGGCAGGCACATCTTTGCATACCACATCCCTTTGCGGAAATGCGGAGTGTGTGGAGGATGCCACAATACACTTCCTGGTCAAAGGATAATAAGACATGGTTTAGTATTGTCACTAGTGCTGTCTCTGTACTAAGACTGATTTTTTTAAATGTATGTGATTCTTATGCAAAAAAGAATGTAAAAATTTTCATTGTATTTTGCAAATGTCAAATCAAGTCAAGTCAAAGTTTATTTATATAGTGTTTTTTGTTGTCACAAAGCAGCTTTACAGAAAAATCCGGGTCCAAGCTCCCGTGAACAAGCCAGTGGTGACAGTGGCAAGGAAAAACTCCCTAAGATTAAGAGGAAGAAACCTTGAAAGGAACCAAGACTCAAAGGGGAACTCATCCTCCTCTGGTCGACACCGAATAGCAGACAGCATTAGTATAAAATATTAGAATACAAAACAGGGAAAAAACAGGTGGAGCAATGATTAATTAGATAGTTTGAGATTATGCAGCAGCAGCAGCATCAGGAGGGTCAGTTCATGTAGGTGAGGTTTGCACAGCTTTGCATAGCGTGAAGCTCCATGGTGGTCAAAACGGTGCAGATAAGCCAACGGAGATGGAGCTGATGACTCTAGCAGCTCTGGTGGCTCCCATGTGTGTGTGTGTGAGAGAGAGAGAGAAAGAGAGAGAGAGAGAGAGAGAGAGAAACTGATTAACAGGACAGTTCCATTTATGGAGAGATGTTAGAGAGTCAGGAGATGATTCCACAATTTTGGGGCTACATAGGAAAATGTTCGACCACCTGCTGTGGTTCTTCTAATTCTAGAAACTGTCAGCAGACTGTTATTTTGTGGGCGGAGCATACGTATGGGTTCGTATGACTGAATTAATTCACTAAGATACTGTGAGGCCATTTAATAATTTATACGTTAAGAGAAGAATCTTGTACTCTACGTGAAATTTAACAGGTAGTCAGTGTAATGACGACAGGATTGGGGATATATGGTCAAACTTTTTGGTCGTTGTAAAGACTTTTTAGACAAATGTACACTCTAAAACTGATTCCTGAGACACATTCCAAAAAGTTGTGACAGGGGTAACTTAAGACCTGTGAAATGTGAAATGTTCAGAAAACATTTTAAAAGAGGTGATGCAATCATAGGGTATGAAATCCAGGACCGACAGAGTGAGGATGGGTCAAAGCTTGCCAATTTACCAAAAAAAGCATAAGCAAAAATCCAACAGTTTAAGAACATTGGTCCTCAAAGAGTGAATTAATGGATTTTAGGTTTCACACTCTACAGTGCATAATATTATCAAAAGATTCAGGAAATCCAGAATATCTCTGTGTGTTAAAAGCAAGGCCAAAAACAAAAATGACTGCATGTGACTTTTGATCCCTCAGACAGCACTGCATTAAAAACCCTGTGACATGTTTCTGTGATGGATATCACCACATAGGCTCAGAAATACTTTGACAAACTGTTGTCAGCAAACACTGTTCATGCTGCATTCGCAAGAGTAAGATAAGCCTGTGCTATGAACAGTGGTTCATATATCAAGTCATATATCAACACAGGGCCGCCAGACCCACAGGGGTGAGCGGGCATTTGACCCACCACTTTTTTAAAGGACTGGGGCAAAGACCCACCACTTTCTGACTGAGTTCAGAACACTTACATAAAAATAGGAAAACTCTGCTTTCCCTAAACTGCACAGAGCACTGACAGGCATGAACAGACAGAGAATCAAACTCAGCGGCAAAACCAATCAGAATAATAACAGAGGACGAGCAATAAAACAATAGTGAAGATGTGTTTGATTTTGGCTCACGGATTGCAGAGCATATTTTTGGCCAAGCATCAGCAACCTGATTGATTACATTCTTAGTAAACTAGGTAAACCAATCATAACAAGGCTGATATCAAGTAAGGTTTATTACTACTGCTGATTGTAATCCTTTCTGATTGTTTATAGAAATAACGGACATCATGTTCTCTGGGACAAAGAAGTAAATGCCAACCAGACCATCAAGACTGTTAGCCTGTGCAAAGTTCAAAAGTGTCTGTAATGGTGTGGAGGGAGCATTAGTGGGCAACCTGGACATCTGTGGAAGCTCCAATATCGCTGAAAGACACACACATTTTGGAGTAACATAAGCTGCCTTTTAGATGCCTAAACAGTGAAAACATGAGGCACATTATTAAGCTCAAAATACAATAACAAGGGTCCCATACAGTAGTATAGCTGAAGACCTGTATAACTGAAGAACAGCAATTAAAAAAAAAGGTGAAGGTTAAAAGGTAATGAATGAAATGTGATGTAAGTGGTAATCATGCTCCTGTCTCAACTATTTAGTAATATGTTGCTGGCATCATAAGTAACTAAAAATATCAAATATGTTTTTTTTTTCTTTCTGTTTCCAGTTTACTACAGGTTGAACAGAATTGACTTACATCAATATTTACTTATTGTCTTTGTGAAGTTTTGCCAGAAAGAGGTGAGATGATGAATAGATGGTTTATTTAGTTAGGGTACACAGTCTATGTTTTGTGCCCGTTAAACTAGACTTAGACACATTTGTGTAAGTGGTATTTAAAGTATATGGTTGGTTGATAAGCAGTAACTGCACACTTCAGCTGTATGTCTAGTGTACTTTATCAGGTGCAGCAGTTAACAAATGCTCATTACAGCTGAAATGAAGCTTTGCATGAGGGTTTGAGACTCATTGATTAGATCAGGTAAGTTACAAAAAATGCTTGTCTGTGCGTGACAGAGGAGGATAATGAATTATTCATCTCTCCTTCTTCTCCTGATGCTTACAGCATAATTGAATTTTGTA